AGACTTCATCGTGGGAGGCACCCTCCACCCGGCTTCGAAGAATGGTTTAGGTATGCAAGGAAGCACGATGCGGTTATCATAGAGGAGTTCTTCGACCAGATTGAACACGACTTGACCCCGTTTTGGGCAATCAAGCCGTCCGAGTTGCGCCAACAGGCTGCCAGCGTCCAGCACCGGGTTGTCGTCCGCGATGGTAAAGCCACACTGGAGGAGCCTGGAAAGCATTTCTGGGCGCCAATCTGGACCAGTCTAATCCAGTCTCTGGAGGAGCATCTCCCCGATGTCGTCGTTCCCTTAAATGTGATGGATGAGTCTAGAATCGTGGTGCCGTTCGAGAAAATAGAGGAATATACATCAAAGGGGCTTGCGACTCGAAATTTCCTAAAACCCACGGATGTGGTACAAGAGTTCACGAAAGTAGCAAAGACTCAGAAGCCCGAACCCCCCTTCGACCCTGCTTATGAGGGACCGGGTTTCAGCCCTTACTGGAAAATAGTGACCCGTGGATGTCCAGCGGATAGCCCAGGACGTACACAATCCCTTTCTCACATCGATTTCTTTAAACCCCCACCACCGCAATACCACAACTATACCTACGAGGGGTATATCGCCAACTTCACTGAGGCCAAAAACCCTTGCAACCGACCCGAACTCCAGGTCCTGCACGGCAACTTTATCGAACCCATTTCCATTTCCACCTCCCAAAAACTCTTCCCCCTCTTCGGCGGCTCCAAACTCCCCGTCAACAACGAAATCCTCCTTCCGGCCGCCGTGTACGTCGCCGAGAAAACCATCTGGTCCGGCGACGAGGAAAGCGGCGGCGCCTGGGAAGGCAAGGAAGACAAGCTCGTCTGGCGCGGGACCGCAACAGGCGGCCGCAACCGCCTGGAGAACTGGCGCGGTTTCCACCGCCACAGATTCGTCTCGATGTTAAATGCCACCACAGTCCGGCTCGCCGAGACGGGTAAAACACCACCGCCCAACTTCGCCCTGCCAGACTACGACCTGTACCACCTCGCCCGGACCGATCGAACCGGTCACATGGCCGACCTCCTCGACACCAGCGCAGACGCCGGCTTCACCGACCTCGTCTGCTTCCCCGGCCAAAAGGGCAACCCCACCTGCCCATACACAGACCCCTATTTCGCCATCGCCTCCCACATTCCCATGGACCAGCAGTACAGGATGAAATACCTCGCCGACATTGACGGCAACTCCTTCAGCGGGCGCTACCGCGGCTTCCTCCTCTCCACATCCCTCCCCATCAAATCCACCCTCTATGAGGAATGGCATGACACGCGCCTGATCCCCTGGGCGCACTTCGTGCCCATGGACTCCACGTATGCGGACATCTACGGCATCATGGAGTACTTTTTGGGCCATGGGGGTGAGCCGGGGAGGGATGAGGTGGCGCGGAAGATTGCGCTGGATGGGAAAGCGTGGGCGGAGAAGGTGCTGCGGAGGGAGGATATGAAGATTTACACGTATCGGTTGCTGTTGGAGTATGCGAGGGTTTGCGATGATCGGAGGGAGAGGTTGGGGTATGTAGGTGATTTGACCAGGAAGAGTACTCTCAGGTTTATATGATCTTATATGGATATGGGAATTTTTTTGGGGACAGTATCTATATGCTATATACTTCTTTGGTTCTTTTTTCTTGGATATATATACACTGCTTGGATGTTATTTATGATTGGGGGATATACCGCTATATATATCTATAGATAGATAGATAACTATAATAATTTACTTTTTCTTCCATCTTCCCAAAAGCCTTGGCTACCTTTCTCAGAAGCGGCCATGCAATGCACTGGCAAGTAAATCATCATGCCCCTCGGTTTTTCCAAGCGGGTTGAGTTCAAGGTACATACGTTCCAGGATACAGATGCTGTCTGATATGAGCAAGATGTTTTCATTCGATGGTATTGAAAGGGGGCTAGCTAGCAAGCATATGCAGTACAAGATGATAGATAACTGAGGGGAAAAAGTAGAAGAAAAAAGAAAAGAAGAAAAGGAAATCTATATCTTGAATAACAAGGAGCCAGGCGGACATGAAAATAACAGACGCGAGAAGCAAGGCAAGAAGAAACAAACCCAGTCTCTAATCCCAACACGCATTGAAGGAATAGAATAAAATCGAAAATAAAAAAAAGAAAAAGCGAAACACGGTTGCTTGCCGTGAAGAAACCAAAAATGATACCAGAAAACTGGAGTGGGGGAGATCTCGCGCCAGGCCGATTAAACACCAAATGCTAACACGAAATTTGTCGCTATGCATATGCTTGAACAAGGAAGAGAAATGGGAGATGGATGGGATATATAGGGGGTAGACCGGGAAGGGCGGGAGGGGGCCAGGGGAGAATGAGGGAGGAGGAGCAAAGGGAAGGGTGCCGAGGAGGATGATACGAGACAAGAGAGGAGAGGAAAAAGAAAAGGGATCTCAGTGTTAACACATCAATCCCGCCCGACCCTATCAGATCCTACTACCTGCGCTTGCTCCCCCTGGTTCTTCAAGCGGACCCTTTTAAATTCCCCTTGCCCGGCCTCTCTCCTTCCCCCTCATTCCCTTCTTCTTCCTCACTCCCTGTATCCTGATCCTGATCCTCATCCTCATCCATCACCAACTCATTATCCGAATCGCTGCCCCCAAACATATCATCATCATAATCCACATCACTATCTACCCAAAAATCCTCCTCATCCATCTTCTCCAAAGCCCCTCCTCCCTTCTTCCCCGCAATCATCGCCATCGTCGACTCGTGCGTCGGCATCACAAAGCCTGCTGGTATATCCGCCTTGCTCCGCTCCACGTCCGCCAGCACTGTCTTCTTATACAACTCCGGGTCCTTGCGGAGCATGATGCCTGCATCGACGTTGGCAGGAGAGGAGACCTCAGCGTCGTCGAGGAGGGAGAGGATGGATATGAGCACGGATTCGACGCGTTGGGCGGGCGACCAGCGTTCGGCGGCGGTTTCGCCGGACATTTCATCGTCGCCTGGGGTATGGAGGATGGAGATGCAGAGGCGGCCGTCTTGGTATATGTTTGGGTGGAAGAGGGGGTGGGTGAATTTGAAGCCTATATATATTTTTTTTTTATTAGAGGGGAGGTTAGCTTTCTTGTAGGAGTGGTTCGTCTCTGGCTCTTATCTGCGGGGTAAGTAATATTTTGATGGTTTTAGGTCGGGATAGGGGCATGTTCAGAATTTTTTTTTTTTTTTTTTTTTTTTTTTTTTTTTTTTTTTTTTTTTTTTTTTTTTTTTTTTTTTTTTTTTTCTTTTGGCAGGTGTCGTCACCTGTGCACTTTGCGACGGAATTCCTTTAGGGCTTTATTAAATATGTTTCGGCGTAACATACCTGGTGGTGAGTAGGGATAGTTTTGCGGGAAGGTCATGGTGGCTTTGAAGTAGCCTCCATAGTATAGGGAGTCCGGGTTCAGGACTATGAGGGCAATATTCCAGTGGAAGATGTCATCGTTGTTGAGCTATAAAATTGCATATTGACTCTATTGTCAGCTTCTGGCATAGTCCTATGTTTTCTATATGTTTCTTTCCCGCAGTAACTGAACGGCGAGGGAGCCGTATTCATGTAATCGGTGAGGTAGGTAGGCAGAAGAAATGCTTGGGGAAAGGGAGCGCCAACCTCGATATGAACCCATTTTTCACTAGCTAGGCTCTTGAACTCGTTCATCAAGATCCTTTGCGCCATTCTTTCTGAATTTGCTTTAGTCTAACGGAGGAACGGCGTGGAACGAATTCGCCGGCGGGAGGGGTATTGGTTGGTGGTATGGTATAGCGAGAGAAAAGTGCCGGGAGAGGAGGTTGCAAAGTGAGCGAGATGCGGATGATGGTTATAGCAGATCGAGAGGGAGGTGAAAAGGAGGCATTATATTTATTTCTCTTATGACTTCTTCTTCTTGTCTTTTAACTACCAAAGAGAGGTTGGAGAAAGTGAGGGCGCTTAGGGAGTAGATGTTGGTCGAGGGAGCCTACGGAAAAGATGATTGGCGAGGAGCAGCAGCTGATGACATCGACCGACCCGCCGCCACACTGCAGGTACATGTACCTCCGCATACAACATTGGCGGGCGCGATACATCAAACATCGCGCCTTTGTTGCTTCGGCTTAACTTACGCCATAGTAATAATAATAATAATAATAATAATAATAATAAATGGCGAGTTTTGTTTTTTGGCAGAAGTTGAAAGAATTGGCGGAGAATGAGATTGTGTGTAGTTACTCAGAGTGACTTTTGGCTTTTGGTCCTTCTTCCCCTTTTTTTGTCTTGTTTTACGGGTAGTTACAGAATTGCCGGCCCATTCCCAATCCACAGGCCGATTTCGTAGTTAGCCTGTAACTAACTAACATAGACGATGTTAGTTATATTTGTTTTTCGAGGAAGCACGTGTATGATGCCGGTCTGAGAGCAATGGAAAGTCAGCGAGAATTGAAATATTCATCCTCATCTCTCCCCCCCCCCCCCCCATTCTGTCCTGTAGATTTCCTTTCTTCCTATGCTATGCTCCAGCAGACAGCCGTTCCCGTGAGTCACATCAATAGAATAGTGGATCGACTAGTTATCCCTGTGGGCTCCTCCTGCAAGCTGCAGTGTTATTATTCTCCGTGATCCGTCGTTGTGGGGGGAAGAAATGGGCGGTGGGATATACAGCGTCAATAGCGGGGGCTCTGGAATACAGTCCGTCACTACGGAGTACTCTACTACTAGCTGCAGTACGCTGCGTAGTTGGAGAAGCATAGCTTGATATCTGTCTGTCCTGTCTGTCTGTCTGTCTGTCTGTCTGTCTGTGTGTTTGTGTTTGTCAATGTGTCTGTGTATCTGTATGGACAGCCAGTGTCGCATACGCTGGCTTACTATAGTTACTGTGTACTGCGTAAGTTCTGTAGCTGCGGCGGGCTTCGGCAGTCTCGGCGGGTCAAATAAATATTTTAATTCTCTGGGCGAAGTTCCCACTTTCCGGAACAAGTCAAATATTGAGTTAGTTAACTATTTAACTTACATAAGTTAAATAACTTCTTATTTACTTATTAACTAACCGCCGCCGACTTTCTTCCCAAGCTCCGGCTACCCTATTATTTACCTCCCCTCCCTCCCGTACTCCGTAGGAAATAGAAAACTCAACCCGAACCAACATTTGTTATTAATAATAATAAATAACCAACCTTGGAACAATTCAATCAGCCTGAGACTATCAACTCTCAACGTCTGTCAGTCGGGGGGTCAGATCTTCTTCCCAGTTCCCGCTTGAACCATTCCTTGCTTTGTCTTTGGGTCTTCCTCTCCCGCCTTGATACTCTCGGGGTTGAAGAAGCTGGTTGGATTGATACCCTCCTCATATATATATATGCCTTATATCCTTCTTTTGCCTCATGAGCTCATTTCTTCCATTTCTCTGCCTCAAAGTTTCTGCCATGTTGATTTCACAGATTGATATCTTGGGAGTCAGCACTAACTATTATTATTCCTCAGTCATGTCTGCTTGGTTAGACTCCATTATTCTTTGATTCATCATTGTTGCTGTTTCCACAGCAAACGCTAGCTCTTCTCGACGTTGTGACATTGTTACTTTTGTCCTTCCTGGCTTTCTTAAATATTCCATAGATTTTTCTTTCTCCTTTCTCCTTTCTCTACCCTTTTTTTTTTTTTTTTTTTTTTTTTATTCCTCTTTTATTTATTAGGGGATTCGATTTTTGATATCCGCTATGCGCCCGGGCTGTGAGGGTCCCGCCTGGGTCGTCGACGACCTTACGCTATGTTTTCAACAAAAGTGAGTTTTTCAAAGATGATCTCCCATTTTGCCGTGTATTGCTTCCTCTTTGCTAACATTCGTGTCCTTACTCAACAGGTTTCTAAAATTAATATTCCCCCTTACGGCATGTGGTTTGTCTCTACTACTGATAGTTACCCACATCTTCCGGCATAATATCCGTCTTCCTTGGCGCCATCGTGGTTACAAACCCATTCCGACCACAGTTGTTGAGCATAATGGTATAATACAAAATGAAGACGAGGGAGAGGATGACGAGGACGCGGAGAGCGATTTGATGCTGCACAAGGCCCTGAGTCGTACAACTCCCGTCAACGTTGTGGAAGACAAACCGCGAGGGAAGGACGTTGTAACGATATTGGAAATTGTGGCGCTTCTCGCGGAACTCGGAGTTTCTGTCAAGAGCCTTGCTACACCTTCGGGAGCCGCAAATGAAATAACTCCAACAATTGGAAGGCTACTCTCCTGGGCCTACATCCTGCTTCTGGTGATTGCTAGGCTGCTCCTCTCCACATCTGAACGCCGTACAATGCCCAAATTATGGAATCACACCGCGGCACTTTATTCGTTCCAATGGTTATGTACCGTCATGGTGTTCCGATCTGTGCTGATCCATCCACCCCCGGATCACATTCGTACTCTGACGAGCATCGACTTCGCCCTCTCCTCCTTCCTCTTCCTCTTAACCCTCACGACCCGTAAGGGAAACAAAACCCTCCACGTTCGGCATGAAGACGGAATTCCCCCACCTCGAGAGCAATTTGCAAGTCTTCTGTCCCTGGCTTCATTCGCATGGCTAGATCCATTGGTCTGGCAAGGTTATCGCAAATCACTGGAGATGCCGGATGTCTGGAATCTGCTCCCAAGCTACCAGGCTGCTGCTGTTCTCGCGGATTTCCGTCAGGCTAAACGGACCTCTGCTCTGGCCTGGAGGCTGCTGCGTTATTTTGATCGTACGCTTCTTCTTCAGGGCGCATGGACCATCTTCTCGGGTTTCTTTTCTTTTTTGCCAACTTGGCTGCTCAAACTCATTTTGGAATACCTTCAAGATCCAGAGATGACCCCCAAGAATACTGTTTGGCTCTACGTCAGCCTTCTGTTTGTCTGCGCAGCCATTCAAGGTGTTGCAGATGGCCAGGCCCTCTGGATCGGCCGCAAGTTGAGTGTGAAGTTGCGCGCAATCATCATCGGCGAGCTCTATGCCAAAGCCTTGCGACGTAAGGCTGGTGCAATTTCGAAAGTCTCGAAAGATGAGGCCAAATCTCAAAAGCAGACGAAAAAGAAGAAGAAACTTTCATTGGCTTGGAATAATAATGAGGCGGACGCTGATACCGAAAGCAGTGAGCAACAACAGAAGGACGATGAACCAGACGAACAAGCCAATATTGGTAAAATTATCAACCTTATGGCGATTGATTCCTTCAAAGTTAGTGAGATCTGCGCATACCTACACTACCTGTGGGCCAGTTTCCCTGTCCAGACCGCGATTGCCATCTTCATCTTATACAAAATCCTGGGCTTTAGTTCTTTGGCTGGTATTGGGGTAATGACTCTGATGTTGCCGCTGAATTTGTATATTGCGTCGCGGTTCCGGATCCTTCAGCACGAAATTCTCGCTGGCACTGATGCTCGTATCCACTCAACAAATGAGGTACTTCAAAACATCCGTATTATCAAGTATTTTGCATGGGAACAACGTTTTGAGGATATCGTCAATGAGAAGCGGAGGGCTGAGTTGAAGAGTCTTCGTCGACGATATATCCTATGGGCCGGTGCTGCCACCGTCTGGTACGGAGCACCAATACTGATCACACTGCTTTCGTTTTTCCTGTACACCGTGGTCGAAGGCAAGAAACTAGTCCCTTCAGTTGCATTCCCTGCCTTATCCACATTTTCGCTCCTCCGCATACCCCTTGACCAATTGGCAGACATGATCGCGCATGTTCAGGAATCCAAAGCCTCCATCGACCGCGTGGAACAGTTCTTGAACGAAGAGGACACCGAAAAATATTCTCAGCTGCGATCGGACGAGCACTCGGAATCGCCACCTAAAATTGCTCTGGAAAATGCCACGCTTTCGTGGGGATCTGCGTCCACACATGCCAAGCCGGGGTCACCACCGGTGCAGGGGGACACCTCTGGAGAATCATTCCGCCTGATAAACATGGATGTTTCGTTCCGCGTCGGGCAACTCAACGTTATTGCCGGACCGACAGGTTCAGGTAAAACGTCGATGCTAATGGCGCTTTTAGGAGAGATGACGCTGCTTGAAGGATCGGTGTTCCTCCCTGGTGGGACGTGTGATCGGGCGGATTTGCGTCCTGACCCGGCCACAGGTCTTACTGATAGCATCGCTTACTGTGCGCAAGAAGCGTGGCTGGTCAATGCCACGATCAAAGAAAATATCCTGTTCGCATCGCCATTTGATCAAGATCGTTATGATGCTGTAATAAAAGCCTGCGGATTGGAGAGAGATTTGGAAATCTTAGATGCTGGTGACCAAACTCTAGTGGGAGAGAAAGGCATAAGTCTTTCTGGCGGACAGAAACAACGGATATCCTTGGCTCGTGGCATGTATAGTAAGGCCCGGCATCTGCTCCTCGACGACTGTCTAAGCGCGGTCGACTCACACACCGCCAAACACATTTTCAGGGAGGCCATTATGGGCCCGTTGATGCAACACCGCACCTGTATCCTTGTCACGCATAATGTCTCGCTGGTCGCGCCCCAGGCGGCATTCCTCGTCGTCCTTGAGAACGGTAGAGTTACAGCGCAAGGAACTCCACAGGAGGTGATTGCTGCCGGAATGCTTGGCGATGATATCCTTCAATCGCGACCTGCTTCCCGCTCGTCAAAGACTTTAACCCACTCTCCATCAAGCGCTCAGGCGGAGAGAACTGAATGGCTGGATAATGAGACAAGCTCTGCGGATGAAACCGTCAGTGGAGCTGTTAATGGAGCTGCCAATGGAGCCGGTGTAAAGGGCAAGAAAAAAACACCAGCGGCCGGCGCCATTCTCGGCGAAGAGAAAGTTGTAGGTAGCGTCAAGCTTTCCACAATTTTCATGTATCTTCGCGCCATGGGTCCATGGTATTTTTGGTTTTTCGCTGTCCTAGCCTTTGGGGCACAACAGGTTGGATCATTAGCCACTAATATCTGGATTCGGGAATGGGCAAATGCGTATCCAGTCAAGAAGGTCGCGTCCAGCGACGTCGGGCACAAAGCTGCCTTAGCTAACGTCGGACTTCCAACGTTTGCCACCGCAAGTATTACCCGCCCCTTCTCGTGGAGAGCACCTGAGATGCAGTACACGGACAAAGACAGCACCTTCCAAGACGATGTAAATCCATACTATTATTTGGGTGTATATGCGGCACTAGCGTTCGGTTATGTCTTAACAATTCTTGCGAGGGAATTGATTCTCTTCGGGGGGTCGCTGCATGCGTCGTGGAGGATTCACAAGCGATTGTTGAAAGCTATGACCCATGCAAAATTTAGGTTCTTTGATTCCACCCCGCTAGGCCGACTGATGAATCGATTCTCTAAGGATCTCCAGGCCGTCGATCAAGAAGTGGCGGCGACTGCGATAGGAATGCTCCACTCTTTAGCCTCCGTCATCCTGATCGTTATCCTTATTTCTGTCATAACCCCCATGTTCCTGATCGCTGCGGTTTTCATTACTGTTATTTACTTCACCCTGGGTGCTATTTATTTGAATTCGTCGCGTGATCTTAAGCGTCTGGAATCTATTCAGAGGAGCCCTCTCTATCAGCAATTCGGGGAGACATTAGCTGGCATTGTCACTATCCGTGCCTACGGAGATGGTGCGCGTTTCATCCATGATAACCACGTCATGATCAATACCTATAACCGGCCGTACCTGTACCTGTGGGCGAGTAATCGATGGCTGGCGTTCCGTGTTGATATAACCGGTGCATTGGTATCGTTCTTCACCGCGGCGGTCATTATCATGAGCGTTGGCAAAATTGATGCTGGTGCGGCCGGTTTGGCCTTGACATATGCGGTCACCTTCACTGAGAATGTCCTCTGGTTAGTACGGCTATATGCGCAGAACCAGCAACACATGAATTCTGTCGAGCGAATTGAGGAGTATATGGAGGTTGAGCAAGAGGCTGAAGCCGTTATTCCTGACCGTCGTCCTCCGAACAACTGGCCAACGCACGGCGCGTTACAGTTCGATAACTATTCTACTCGCTACCGTCCGGATCTCGATCCAGTTTTGAAGAATGTTACTTTCTCAGTGCAGCCTGGCGAACGTGTTGGGATCGTTGGCAGAACAGGCGCTGGGAAGAGTTCGCTTGCACTCGCCCTATTCCGCGGCCTCGAAGCGGAAAGTGGCAGAATCCTCATTGATAATGTCGACATTGGCCTAATTGGCTTGCAGGACCTGCGTGAAGCAATCACCATTGTCCCTCAAGACCCTACCCTTTTCACCGGAACAATCCGTAGCAACCTCGATCCCTTCGGTCTACTCACCGACGACGAAATCTTCACGGCCCTCCGTCGCGTCCATCTAATTGGCGGTCCAACATCCACCTCTGTCTCCGGCTCCAACACGCCAGTAAACCCTTCCAACCCCCTTCTGGACAACAACAGTGACTCCAGCGACCCAGATCTCGCCTCTCGCTTCCGTGACAACAAAAATATATTCTTAAACATCAACTCCCCCATCTCCGAATCCGGCTCGAACCTCTCGCAGGGTCAACGCCAGCTCCTCTGCCTAGCTCGCGCCCTCCTCAAATCGCCCAAAGTGCTCATGATGGACGAAGCAACCGCATCCATAGACTACGCCACCGATGCCAAAATCCAGGATACCCTGCGTGAGCTGAAGGATAACACTATCATCACCATCGCGCATAGGCTGCAGACCATTATCGACTATGATAAGGTGCTTGTGCTGGACCATGGGGAGGTGGTAGAGTATGATGGGCCGTGGCAGCTTATCAATAGGAAGGGAGGCAGCTTCAGAGGCATGTGTGAGAATAGTGGGAATTTTGAGGCGCTAATGGATGGGGCTAGGAAGGCGTGGGAGGCGAAGAGATTGATCGATGATGAGTGAGATTGAGAGCTTTTTTGTTCCTTTTTTTTTTTTTTTCCCCTGTTTAGTTCATGAAAACTGCTGTACATACATATGTACATGTACATAAGAGCTAGATCTTTGTTGGTTGAGAGTTTTGGTCTTTCTTTTTTCGATATCTTATTTTCCCAACCTCCCCTCCGGCAGGTATTTGATCGTTGGTATTGTCATCCCTCTACTCCGTACATGCGAGGGAAATAAAAGGAGTTTAGACGGGAATAAAAGAATTTAAAACTGTTTCTCTCTCTTCACGTAGTAGTTGTAGGTGGTAGGCGGTCCGATTTCTGTTTGCTGGGTCCGCTTAATAACCATTGATGGGCCTTTTTTGGTAGTTGGATTGCATCGCTTTTGGTTGTCCTTTTGTTTGTGCGGGGGGGTTGGTTGTTGCTACTAGATTTTCTTTTCTGCGCTCAACTATGTCAACTATGTCAGCATCTTTCCAGGATTTACACATATAGATAATGATTCGGGTTTACTCTGTGAGGAATATCAAGCTTTTGTCGGAGATCCATAGTATTTATTCTGACGTCAATAGTGAGGCTTGTGGCAGAAGGTGACATTCATGAATCACTCCCTCCATTTTGAAAGTCCCGGAATTTTTATAACAGTGATCATTACACTGCAAATGAGAGTTAACGAATTTGTTATTATCACTCGATTGAAGAACTGCATAATCAAGGACATCTTCGAGTTCCTAGTTCGGTGACCCAATTCTATTGTACATGCACAGCACAAAACAGTATGGTGAATATTTGCGCTTAACCTCGCCCAACTGCCAGTAAGAAAAGAAGCAGAGGAAAGTAACGGGGGGAAAGGGGTGGGAACAATGGGTACAATCGCTCATATGGAAACTCCTAGCTAGCCAGCTATGTACCCGTATCAATAGCTCTCCTTATGAAGAAGGTAGAAATAGATTATTCATCTCTGAATGTCAATAAATCCATAAAACGGTTCTATCGGATGTGACCTATTCATCCACCTTATGGGCTGAGTTTTACCACGTTCGATCCCCGACACATTTCTTCAAAGAAGACTCGACTCGACTTATTCCTGTTTGCGAACCCTCCACTACTCGACGACCTTCACCCGGGTGAATAATACTGTACGTATTTCTGGTGCAGCGGTGCATTACCAGCCTGTCGAACTGGCAGAACCGCATTTTCCATCAAGATAGGCAGCGAAGGTTCGTCAACACCTGGGACGACGTTCCTACCAAGCGGGGCAGGAGGTGCCTTGTCGTTTTTCTCCTGCTCGATTATGATCCGCTCTATTGAGGCAAGGCGTGCATCGTCCTGTATGGCTCCCCCGTTCGAATAGTCTTGGTAGTTCTTGATGAAGTCTGCGTGTGCCTCGGTGTTAGGAGGGGCGTTGGTAGGTGTAGGTGGTAGCGCATTTTCTCCCGCGCGGAAACCTTCGTTTAGGATAGAGCATTCGCCGTGCTGGCATTTGCAGGGGAAATCGCAGATTTCAACACAGGGGTGACCACAAGGGAGAAGTTGGCTGCAGGGCTGTTGGCATTTAACTTGTGAATGTGATACGCTGTAACCGTTATTTGTCAGTAGATTGGTTAAGGAAGCGCGAGTTCATTGGAGGGACTCACACGTGGCAGCGAAGCGGGCAGTCATGGCCGCACTTCAATTTCTGATCACACTTTAAGGAACAGCCTCCGTCAGTCAACGACCATTTCTCTGCCTGTGCGATATACATTTTGGTCTGGTGGTTGGCACAGGTCGCCGGAACGTGATATCCGATCCTCCTCGGGCTGCAATTGACAATTTGCACAACCTCCCACCAAAGCGGGTTGGACACGGCAAGAAACTCTGCGTTCCCAAAAATATAGAACCCCCGCTTTGCCCGCGATAGAGCAACGCACACTCGGTTTTCAACGGCAAGGAAGCCCATGTTTCCGCTATTCTCATTGCTCCGAACCAAGGAGAGCAGTACAATTTCATTTTCCTCTCCTTGATATGAATCAACCGTGGATACCTTAATATACTGCCCCTGCAGTAAACGAATGTCTCGTAAAGCTTTCAGGATCTTCTTCCGCTGCCCGTTGTAGAAGGTTAAAACGGTTATGTCCTGTACTTCAACTCCGTTGAGGTGGAGATAGATGAAAAATCCGACAACCATGCGTGCTTCACGATCATTGTACTTGGAGAGCAAGCTATCAGAAGACTCAGGCCAATCATGGCAGAAGAAGAACGAGTTAACTCCACCCATTCCAGGAACGGCGTGTCTGTCTACCACGGACGGATGGTCCTCCAGATCATCATATATGGGGGCCAAGATCCTTCGGATTTCTGGTGCCATACGCCGCTGCTTCGTCAGCGTTTTGAACTCTATTCCATTATGCACAAGTCGCTCAAACAATGACACCTGCAAGAAAAACGGCTCTCCTTCTAGCTCTCTGACTGCACAGGTGCCCTGGAGCTGTTTATGATCGCCAATGAGGATAAGGTGCTCCAATGACTTTATGCAGGCTGCAGCAATGGGGGCTTCTGTCACCTCAGCAGCCTCTTCAATCATGATTATCTTGGGCTTTATGCTTGAAATAAGTGCGCGATATTTGCTCAGGCCTGTTGTCGTCATGCCTACTAACCTTGCAGATTGAAGAATGGTGGAATTTAACTCCCATTTCCCGGTTTTGAGATTCTCAGCAGCCACTTCATATCTCTTCGCTAAGGATCGGAAAGATTCTTGGATGGCTTCCTTCGCAAGCTTTTGGAATATCGAGTAAATTCCACCACGGTCACGCGGAGAAACTTTCCAGAGATCGTCTTGCTTTAAAAGTCGGGCTCGCAAAGCGTCTACTGCTGTTGCGGAAAGGCTGCATCCTTTAACCTGTTCCATCAATGCCATGTATGGCCCTCTCAAACTTTCAGCGTCCTCCTCATCGATGCCTTGTTCGAGCTCAAGTTCCTTAAGCTGCTCATATTCCAGATCAATTTCATCTTCAACAAAGCCAAAATTATTCGGTTGGTAAACCACATTGAATTTAACCTTGCTATCTCCGAGCCAGGCAGCAAGAGGTTCCACTTGATCGCCTCCGTGAACCCATCCCTCAGCTCCTTTTACTAAAGAGTCATACTGCGATTGGGTAATGATATTCAGTTTGAGCAACAGCGCTGCCGGTAGGGGCGATTTAGAGTCGACTGGAGCAAATGGCTCGAATAGTTTAAAGATAGTTTCCGCGATCTCCTTTAACCGCTTCTTGGATGGGCCAAATAAGCCACCGGGGATTGTCGGGACAGGGTTAGCTTTCCTTAACTCGAATATAGTCCGCTTCTTTATATCCAAATCCGCACTTCTTCCACCAAGCCGAACATAATTCATCTCGAACTGTGCAACATGGCGAAGCAACTGGTCCAGCGCGTGGTTGGTCTGCGCTGCGATAATGATTGGTGGGTCAGTGGAAGGTAGGGTTGAAAGTAGCACCTTCAATGCAATGACGGAGACATGAGTTTTGCCAGTTCCTGGTGGACCTTGTACGATAGCCAATCTCTTCGTGAGAATTTGGCGCAAGGCGTTCCATTGAGACGAGTCTAGAGATTCAGGGGAAGATGGCCAGTTGTTAAGAACATCTATTTTTGCATCGCCTTCATCGATTGAGGTAGCTGACATGTCAACGAAGGGATTCAACTTGATGTATTCCGGAGGTTCAATATTAGGCTGAAGATCACACAGATATTCAGAGAATGGGAAGCTTTTAAACTGTCAGCAGATACAACTATCATTACGCACGTAATCATAAGAATGAACGAATTTACGCACCCTTCCCTTGCCATTTTCTGCAAGGCAGTTAATGTATGCCGTGATGCTTCGTAGTAGCCGCTCCTAGCTTCGACCATAACAAACTCCATCTGAGGGTCGAATTCCGCATCCTCGGCTCGCGCATAAAATATATCTATTTCAGAAGGGGTCTTTTTCAACTCATCCAGAGGCCTAGCAGCAACGACAGCGACGATACATTTCGATTTGAACATGTCATTCGCCGGCGTCAGTGCGACGATGGTGCCTGTAGTTAGCCTGGGGGAGTACTCCCATACGATATTCTTTCCAGCACGAGCAGTAGAAAAGGTAAGCTTCATCGCTACGCCTGCATCTGCACAAGTAACCCCAACGATGTACACCTAGTAAATCCATATATTAGCTAAGGTATTGTTACATGTGGGAACGGAATAGGACCTAACAAAAACGGATTACCTTTTCGTAGATACAAACATTTATGGAATCCTTCATGCGTGGATCTTCTTTCACATAAGCCACTGCATCCCTTAGCGAAGCAACTGCATCTTCTCTGAGAAGGTCATAATGAGCCTTCAGGTACATGTCAGTTGACGGCCATGGGCCTTGAATTTTGTTGGCGACCAAGTCGACATGATCGCCGATTTCGTCGATCCCCAGGATTTCATTAGTGGTGGGAAGCTCTGGCTTCGCCGTCCAGGTATCGCCCGCGGCCGCACGTCGAGTCTCCTCGATGTACGCCTGGATGTCCTTGTTTAAAGAGACCTTTGGGCCAGGCAGACGCGAGGGGTTTAGTCTCCGGGCTTTCATATCTGCTTACTTGCAACAGTGAGTTAGTTAGCCTTGGTCCAGCGATTCTTAGCGGCGCTCTAAATATTTAAGCTTTGTGGACATAACTATATTTCCCCTTTTCTGGCCAGATTGTGCCGTATATATATATATATATATGCACCAAAGGGGAACAGGTGATGAAAGGTTATTAAGTTAGGCTGACCTCGGAAGAATGAAGACATTGCTTCATCTAAACGATAGTGAATACGTTGCCGGCCTTGCAGAAAAGTCACAATTTGAAGAAGACACGACAAAAGTCGCAATTAACCATGAGGGTAAAGGCACTGAAGATTGAGAACACGCTTTCTAGGAGTAAAAAACCAAAGAAGCCTGATTAACCTGAAGAGATGTGTGGGTAGTTGAAACAGTAAACAAGGGGAACTAAACGATGTGAAAATTTTGTTATTTCAGGTTGGTTGCTACAGCGCCCTCCACAGCCCTG